CGTCTCAGAGTCCTCACATTTCAAAGTGGGATGTATGTATTACAAGAACTGCTGATTCATTAGGAATGCTTTCTAATTCCAGTGCAACAGCTGCTTCTGGTTAGAATAAACTCCCACTCTTTTGTGTCCTGTTCCTCTGAGGAGACCTTAAATTTTGGCTTAAAACTTCCTCTTGCTTCACTTTTCTCTCTTGTCCTGTTTTTGAGCCTTGATTATGGTGCTTTATCCTTCTCAGCATTCATGCAATCTGAACCGCCTACTGTACCCATGCCTCACCTTTAAAAAATGGCTCTTTTTTAAAAAGATCACAAACACTAACAAAACTCTTGTGATAATGCTTTTTGTTTGCATTCACAGTGGCAGTGGAATATATTGTACAGCAGTAAAGAAAAAAGTTGAGACATGTTGTAGTCATGAATTCTAAGTGCAGTAATTTAAAGTACAGGGAGCATTTCAGAAACCGCCATTGTCCGTTAAATGAAACCTCTGTATTAGTGTATCATAGCATGCTGTTCTAATCACTTTCCTCCAAATACCAGCTTTTGAAAGAAACATACTGTATTTTTTTATACAAAATCTGCAATTGTATAATTGAACGGCTCGGCAGAATAGGTAAATGAATGTAGCAATGTGCATTCAAATATGTCTCTTTGGTCTGTAATGAGCTGATTGAAGTTCACAGTTGTAAGACTTGCCATTTTATTTCCTGATTTTATATTCTGGACCCAGACAAAAGTGCCTTAAAAAAAAAAAACTAACAGAAAAAAGTAGAAGAAAATTGTTCATAAAAGTCAGCCTTTGTAGAGACCACTGTTGGATTCAGGGTTCTGGTGGTCTTTATTCAGCTATAAAGTAGATGATCTTCTGCAATCCTCTTGTATATACATGGACTGGAAATGTAGCTGAATGGTAGAGTGCCTAGCATTTGCAAAGTCCAGGGTTCAGTCCCCAGTACTGCCCCGCCCACAAACACACACACACACACACACACACACACACACACACACACACACA